TATTCTTGGCAAAGGGAAGCTTTACCTCATTTAATAAGCTCTGGAGCAACTGCACTTGTAGAGTGCAGTCTATTTGCCTTTAGTAAATCAACCCTTATGACTTCAGTTTTTGTAAGAGGCAGGTAAATCCATTCATTCGATCAACCAAACTGTTCACTATGCTAACTCTGAACCTTCGCTAATGCTTAGAATCACTCTAAGCAAGCTCATTTTAGCCTGCCAAATGTAAAGAGACCCTGTCACCAGACCATTCATTTCATCAACAATTTTCTTATAGGATTATTGCTGCATGTAATTTATTTTATATATGTATGTATGTACACTGCTCAAAAAATGAAAGGAACACTTTGAAAACAGATCAGGTCTCAATGGGGAAAAATATCACGCTGGATATTTATACTGATATGGACTGGGTAATGTGTTAGGAACGTAAGGATGCCCCATCATTTGATTTTCAGGGTGTCTTTGAATTTAGTCCTGTGTAGGTTGATCATTGTCATTTCCATCAAAGTGAAATAATTATGCAGCAGGCTAGTCAGTCTTGCTTAAGTTTCATTGCAGCAACTCAAAACGGTACTCTGTAGTTTGTATGGCCCCCACGTGCTTGTATGCATGCCTGACAATGTGAGACGACGGTTGGTGTCCTGGGGTATTTCCTCCCAGATCTGGACCAGGGCATCACTGAGCTCCTGGATGGTCTGAGGTGCAACCTGGCGGCGTCGGTTGGACTGAAGCATGATATCCCAGAGGTGTTCTGTTGGATTTAGGTGAGGGAAGCGTGAGGGTCATTCAATGGTATCAATTCCTTCATCCTCCAGGAACTGCCTGCATACTCTCATCACATGAGGGTGGGCATTGTCGTGCACCAGGAGGAACCCAGGACCCACCGCACCAGCATAGGGTCTGACAATAAGTCCAAGTATTTCATCCCGATATCTAATGGCAGTCAGCATGCCATTGTCTAGCCCAGGGGTGGGCAAATTTTTTGACTTGAGGGCCGCAATGGGTTCATATATTGGACCCGTGGGCCGGACCAAGAGTAGATGAATGATGTGTATGTGTCATCCATAGTAAGTATAGTAATATTCCCCCATAGTAAGCATAGTAATTAATCCCCCATATAGTAATTCATCCCCCATAGTAATTCATCCCCCATATAGTAATTCATCCCCCATATAGTAATTCATTCCCCATATTAATTCATCCCCCATATTAATTCATCCCCCATATAGTAATTCATCCCTCATATAGTATTTCATCCCCCACAGTACTATTCCCCCCCAAGTAGTAAGCCAAGTCCCTCCTGTGTCAATTCACTTACCTTTGCTCCGCGCGTTCCTCTCGCCGTGTTCCCGCGCCGTTCCGGTCTTCAGGGCGGACTGTGAGAGGAGCCTAGCTCCCCTCACGTTCATCACGCTGCCCCGCGCCGGTACACACATATTGACAGCCAATGTATCATGCTCCGCGGGCCGGACAGCCATTAAAATGGTCCGCCGGGCCGTATACGGCCCGCGGGCCGTAGTTTGCCCATTGCTGGTCTAGCCTGTAGAGGTCTGTGCATCCCTCCATGGATATGCCTCCCCAGACCATCACTGACCCACCACCAAAATGGTCATGCTCGTTAAATCGGCCAGCAACAACTGAACAACATAAAAAAAAAAAAAAAAACCCAACAGCTTTCTCCATATAGTATTCCTTTTTTTCGTTCAAACATTGGGGTTTAGTAAAAAAAAAAAAAAAACTATTCCCTCATCCAAACATTTGAGGCGGATTGGGGGAATCCTTCTGTATATTGTATTCTGAAAGCAGGGAGACTTCCATAGACTACCATAGCCAGCGGCACTGATTGATCAGGAATAACCCAATGGGCTAGTTGTACAGAATTTGATCTGTAGATCGACTTCTGCACAACCAGCCTGCCCATACATGGATTGAAATTAGGCCGGTCCCTGCTGAACTGGCCAAATTTCAAGCCATGTATGGCCACCTTTAAGTGAGGTGGATGAAGGAATTTCCCTCTCTGGGACATTTGTATTCTGACAGTGGGGACTTTAATGGGATATAGGATACCCGCACACATCCCAGAAGGCTGTAGGACCAGTTGAGTGACAAGCGATATCTCATGCATGCACAGTAATAAGACCGCTGTGAATCATCAGGAAGTGACAGCCGGATCCCAAAACCAAAATGGCTGCACATGAGAACACTGAGAAGCATCGACTGTGTAGAAGACAACAATGCAGGGATTGGCAAGTATCAAACAATTATTACTAGTGACTCAAAACATCATTGTGAATATTAATCTTCATGCAAGTGACATTAATAACTGATAATCCTAAGGTGATAGTGCCTATTAAAGTACAGTGATATACAAATGATTTGTATATCACTGTACTTTAATAGGCACTATCACCTTAGGATTATCAGTTATTAATGTCACTTGCATGAAGATTAATATTCACAATGATGTTTTGAGTCACTAGTAATAATTGTTTGATACATGCAGTATCTTGAAAGCTATTCATTAGCACTTTGAAAGTATAAGATATACATATTGGTACATGGGAGCGCGGCACTATCTATTTTGAAAATATTATATATACACTAGCATATGAGTCAGTGCAAGTGCCAGCGAACCTCACGTGAGAAATAAGGACATCTAAAGTCACATATTGAACACCTCATTTCATAATAGCTCACAAGCATTCACCATTTATAGGGATTGGCAAGTATTTGTTTCTTAGAAGCTACACTATTGGTAGCTGCTGACGTTTAATTTATTGATCCCCTGGCGAAGTTCCTCTTTAAAGGTACTTTTACACTGCATTAGTAATGTGCATTTTTGACAATGTTCCCTAGTTTTTTTTTTTTTTTTTTTTCTTGCATGTACCTATTAGTGCTTGTAATATGCACTTGTTTTTCTTTATTCATTATATAAAGTGTGGAAGAAAGATTCAGAGTAAGGATTTTCCAAAGCGCATATGAGTTAAAACACAAAACAATGTGGCAATTAAGTGCATTTGCATTGAGTAAAATGTATATATTTTATTGCAGGAAAACTGACAAGGGCAAATGGTCCCTAATATTTTGTTTTTGCATTACAGTAATGCTGCCTAATCCTGCTCAGTTAAGCAGAACACATAGAAGAGTGGTGCAAACCATAATACTATTGTAAACCCAAAATACTGCCCACTCAGTAATATTTTGGTTGTAGGTGGCCCCTGGTTTCTTAAGCTAGCCATAGATGGCTCGAATGTCAGCCAGGTCAGTCGGGACTGGACGAGATTCAAATCATGTGTGGGAAGAGTGAATGTACCCAAGTTGATCGACCAACCAACTTGGGTACAACCAGCCTGACGGGTTTTACATGAGAATATTGCTAGTGGCTATTATAGCCACTAGCAGTAATCACTGTGTTCTCCCAGCGGGGAGGAATTCCCCCATTAACACTGACTGTGTTAATGGGGGAATCAAATCTCTCTGTCTATGGCAGGCTCTATTTGTTTTAGATACTAAAACAGCACCAGTTTTGGGTGTTTCTGCCCTTCGGTTGCATTTTCTAAAATATGAAATTAATTTTAAAAAAAAAACTGGGCGAATGAGAAACACCTCCTTATAGCCACAGCAGATATGGAGAGCCAGGATGTCAGTTGTAGAGCCACTGAGAGATGCATTCTAAGGAACTTTCAAGTGGCCCAACTCCAGGTCCCAGCATTTTTTTTAATAATTCATACCTTTTTCTAGCTGTCTTCCCTTCAGTCCAGTGACAGGTGGGCGGCTCTTCTTCTCTTTGATTCTTATCCCGTCACTAAGCGGCCATGATGTAATCAGCAAGGTTACGCATTGATCAGTACAATAGTAAAAAGCTGTGAGTCTTTGGGGAGCAACACTAGAGAAGAGGTAAGTATTGCAGCAAAAGCTCCTTTTTCCTATTTTAACCATTGCTGGGCAATTTAATATTTTACAGTCAAATCATCAGCTGACTTCTTTTAGCTCTTTATTGAAATGATAAAAAGATCTCTGCTCTTAAGTTATTAGGTTTAACTACCTGCCATGGATAAAACAAGAAAGGCTTAAGCTGGCCATAGATGGATGGAATCTCGGTTGTTTTAGCAGGAACCAGCTCATATTCAGTCCATCTGTGGGCAGGCTGATTGTATCGAAGTCATTCCATCGATCGACTTGGGCACAACCAGCCTGTTGGATTTTTAGCATTCGATTACTGCCCGTGGCTATAGCCGCTAGCAGTAATCCTTGTGTTCTTCTGGCTGAGAAGGTTCCCCCCTTCCTGCTGGCAGAACACAATAGCACTGCGGGGAGGCATTCCCCCATCAACACTGACTGTGTTGGTGAGGGAATTGAGCTATTTTCTTTCCTTCAACCTGTGGTTTAATTCATCCATGGCTTGCCTTATTCTCACGATCGGATTTTTTAAATTATTATGGAGGATTTTTTTAAAGTAGTGATACCCTATGGCAGGAAGGGCTGAAATAGGAACTCTTGATGGGAATGAGCATGGTTCGCTATTTATTTATTTATATAGGAGCAGAATATATATCCATTACATGTATAAAATATGCTTCCCAAAGCCAAAATGATGGTAAAGAGAAAGCCCTTCCTTGTAATCTTGCTTAGGTAACTTTGGCAACTAACATCAAGTAGCTACATGTAAATATGTCAGTGTCCCTGGGCCTCTGACTTATAGGTCTCTGTTTTAGGCACACCCGAGCCCATTGTAAATAAGTCCCAGCTACAAAGATACTGTAAAAAAAAAACGTGTTGGAAAAGAGTAGGGATGGTGTTGCCTATGACAACCAACTGGTTACATTTATTTACCAACCACCATAAACTTAATATGCAGAATTTCAGTCATTGCTGTTGGAAACACCTCACTTTTCCTTTTTCTGTATTTTTCAAGATGACACTGTGAAGGTAGAATTGCCATTTGATTTATTCTAAACATGTATATTTGTTCTTTCCATTTCATCCAGCCACCAACTATGGTGAGATGCCGGAAGTTCAGCATCTCACTCATCGCTTTTTTCATGTTGGTTGCCCTCAAGATCTGCATAGACTTGACTTATACTCCTCCTCATCTCCCTCAGACACCGTCTATTTCTACAGAACCCTACAGAAGTCCAGTGGTTCAGCTGGGCCCTTTACAAGGTGATGAAGAGCTGTCCATGGCGACCCTTCATAACCTAGCACAGAAACTGCGGAAAGCTGTAATACGATCAGAAGCTTTTTGGAATACTGAGCAATTGCAGCTGCTGGACTTAAAGGCACCAATGGCATGGACATGCAGCAACTCTACAAGTGTATCACAAGTGAAAGTGACGGATCCCTATCCAGATCTCCTACAGAGCTTTCTAGCTCACAGTCGATGCCGAAACCACAGAATGATTATTAATCAGCCAAAAAAATGTTCACTCAACACTACTTTTCTTCTTTTGGCCATCAAGTCTTCTCCACAGAATTTTGCTCAACGGCAGGCAGTAAGGAACAGCTGGGGAGGAGAGAGAGATTATGGGGGAAAGAATGTCAAATTAGTGTTTCTCTTGGGTACAGTACAGGTGCCTGACCTCTCTCCTCTACTGGTGTATGAAAATAGTCGTTCCCATGACCTTCTCCAGTGGGATTTTGTGGACACTTTTTTCAACCTGACTTTGAAAGACCAGCTCTTCTTAGGATGGGCAAATAAACATTGTGCTAAAGCTAATTATATCCTTAAGGGGGATGATGATGTGTTTGCTCGAATTCCTAATATTGTGCAAATCCTGTCACTATTGGATAACCAGCGGCATCACTCTCTATATATGGGACATGTTGTAAAGGCAGCCAGACCTTACAGAGACACTCATAGCAAGTACTACATCCCTCCATCTTTCTATGCTGGATTTTACCCACCCTATGCTGGAGGAGGAGGATATGTTTTTTTCGGTAGATTAATTCCATGGCTTTACCTGGTGTCACGTTTTGTTTCTCCTTTCCCAATCGATGACGTCTACACTGGAATGTGTTTCATGGCACTGGGGGTGCATCCTGTTGGGCATCCTGGATTTAAGACATTCAACATACCAAAGGAGGAGAAGACCAGCTGTTCTGAAAAGCCGCTCCTCCTTGTACATCGAAAGAGCCCCCAAGAGATGCTAAAGATGTGGGGTCAACAATATGAAAAGATGCAGCAGTGTTAATGATGATATTTAAATGTATTGTGAACATAAATTATCTTTATTTCTAGACCTTTTCTTTGGCAACCTCTGATGACAAAGCAATCTGCTCAGTGGCTCCCTTTATAAAAAAAAACCTTTACAAAGAGATATGTAGCTTCCATTGATGTTCTGGTTCTTAAAATGCTGTTAACCTTTGGCTTGAATTCTTTAAGTCACTGACCTGCAACAGTGAAGCAAGACTGGTCACATTAAGGTTGGATATGTATTTGTTCCAGGTCAGTGGCTTGGAATGGATTAAATCCTATGGATCAGCATGATGGTCAGGAGCATTTTCAGAATTCAGCAATAATAGCCTACCTACTTCTCTCAGCACAGGGCTTTTTTTTTAACCCCTTGGCGCTGGCGCCTCCCGGCCCTTTAAGGGTTTCAGAAGCCAGGAGGTGGGGTTTTAGGGTCATGTGACCACCGTGATTCGCTGTCACGGCGGTCACATGATCGGGAACGGTCCGATCGAAAGAGGAGATAGGGACCTTTCCGTGAGTACCGGACATGTGTGCTGGGAGCGTGCAGGGCACGCACTCTCTGCACATATGTTTTTCTTAATTGCACGCAAATGTACAGCCGCTTGGTGTCAAGGCCCAGACACCGGGAAGCTGCACTTTTGCGTGCGGCTGGCGCCAAGTTGTTAAAGGATAAGGATAAGTTCACCTTTTATAATAATAATAATAAATGTTTATCTTTTTGCAGGTAAAAAAATATTTTTTTTACACTGGAGCCTGTAAAGCATTGCACCCATGATCAGCAAATCACGGGTGCAATGGCAGGATCTTGCAGACTCTTAGTACCCCATACGGGCAGGTAGTTACTGAATTGCAGGAAGAATCAATGAACTACGAGAGAACTCACCAGTTCCCATGCAGTTCATTGAGAACTGCAAACAGTCGACCACAGCGGTTGACGGTACTTGCAGTTCTTTCTTTCAGAGAATTCTGTGAATAAATGACATGGTTCCCTGGGTAGAGCCCCTCAGGGCCGTGCTTTTTTTTTAAAAAATTGTGATAGTAGGTGCAGGCAGAAGATCCCCTGTCCATTGTCCCAGAGAGGAGGGGACCAGAGGGAGAAAAGGCAGGAGCTGAAACATGTTACATGTTTTACCCTGAATATGGGTGGAACATGTAACATGTTCCAAAGTTGAACTTCTCCTTTAACACATGGGCTTATTTTATTAAAAATATGCCATGTCTATACAAATTAAGGAAGAGGTTTTTTTGTCCATGGTGATCAACAAATTTGCTTTTGGCCAAATGCAAATTTCCTTCAGCCACATGGAACTAAAGCTAGACAAAGATATTTGATGTTACTTGGCTGACTGCTAAGCAACCCTTTTTACCTCTATACATCCTATGAACATTCATACTTCTATCACACAGTTGTGTGCTAATTTTCACGGAGGAGACTGGAGAGTAGAGTTCTGACACCCCCATCATCAGCCCTTTCTCAGGGGAAGAGTAGTGATAGTCTTCAGACACCTTAACCAAGCCAGTCATTTGTTCCCTTTAAAAGCCATCCATGGGAGGACCTTGCTGAAACTAAAAGACTAATGGGTGTGTATCAACTCAGACTCCCACATTTTCTAATTGGATTCAATCAGAAAAATGTGTGAATCCTGGATGAAAGTTGTGTGAATCTTACATGAAAACAAATGGACCCCTAAATATATCTCTGGTAAAACCAGTCTTCTAGTTATAGTGTAAAAGGGCTAGAAACCCAGTTTGGTTTTATTCACCTGCTTTATCTGTCCTGGTGACTATTTTCACTAAGCAGAAAGTAATGGGAAAAGCTAAATTTTACAGTTGTCACCAGAAAAGGAGGTAAGACGAAATCTTCCAATGGAGACGTGTTCTGATGACATCTGACTATGGGCTTATTCACATGGGCTGCCAGGGGGCCATAAAAGCAGCTGGTTGAGCTGCGGTTTTACCAACCCCTGGCCTCCCACCCAAAGAAGGGCTTGCAGCTGCTAAAGCTGTACACATGCTGCAGCAGAAATTAAAAATGGTGCAATATTTACTGGGTTCAAACAGGCAGTGAGGAGGCGACATATTGCCTCCTCATTTCCTGTCAAATGCCTCTGAAAACTGATCCACCACGAATCTCTCTGCAGAGGGGCAGCAAAGGTTGCTGCACATATGAACAAGCCCTTAGAGGTGGTTTTCCTTACTTTGAAGATATTTTAACTCGCTTCCTGTTGTCTATCCAGAACAGCAAGTGAAGTGAAATCAAAGACATTACAAAAAACTTGACAGGGCTTCTTACTATTTCCTACTTTTTATAAACTGCGAATAAAACTTTTGGCTAGAGACACCTTACAGAGAATTAGCTTAGAACCATCTCATGTCTATGACTGCCTTTCCGTTGCTGTTGACTGTAGCACATGCGGCGGACTTGCTGCCAGTCGATTGTCACTTGTCAGATAACGTTTTCTTGCGGACTCCAAGCATCGTGACCGCAGCATGTAAACACCCCCACCCACTGCCTATTGCAGCTTAAGAGGAGGGAGTTAGCGGCAGCAAAAACACAGCCCAGCTGTTTATTTTTGACACCCCCTCCCCCATCCATATGTCTAAATGAAGCCTTAGGAATACTGAAGTGCACTTGTCACTAAGTGACGCACACTTAAACTGGCCAATACATGGATTGAATTTCAGCCGGTTAAGCGGAGATCCATGTATGGGCACCCTGGTTGTACACAAGTCGATCTGTTGTTCGACTTGTGTACAACCAGCCTGTTGCGTTTTTTTCCAAACAATTAGTGCCACCGGCTATAGCCTTCAGCAATAATCACTGTGTTCTGCTGGCAGGATTGACTGTGTCGATGGGGGAATGGAGAAATTTTCTTACCTTTGACTCATGGTGGAAGGACAGAAAATTGCATAATCTATGGCCTGCCTTACAAATACATTGATATAATTAAAGGATAATTGTTTTGTGAAACAGGCCGTTCATATACTGACACATTTAAATGGGTATCTTTTTTTGCAGTAGAAAACATTTCTTCCTCTTGCACAGCCTGGACCATGCTGGTACAGTATTGGTACCCTACAGTACGTCTGACTCGAATCACAATGAATGGACTATGTACGTCAAGCAGATGAATGGAGTTTGTATGAATGGCTAGTATTCACTACAGGCTAGGATTGAACAGATGCTGCCCCCTCTTTTGTACACTACGGGGGAGATTTACTAAACCTGGAAAGTGCAAAATCTGGTGCAGCTGTGCATGGTAGCCAATCAGCTTCTAACTTCAACTTGTACAATAAAACCTGGAAGTTGATTGGTTTCTATGCAGAGCTGCACCAGATTTTGCACTCATTAGTTTTAGTAATTCAACCCCACTGCCTGTCCCTTTTTAGGATGTAGCCACGCTTTTACATTTGTGCTGTGTTGCATTTTTATCTGCTTTGTCCTGCACGATCATACATTGCCATAGATTTCTAGGGGCTTTTTGATGCACCCAGCCATGAAAAACATGAAGTATTTTTGACAACGTGCTGCAGCGCTCTTAGTTCTTGCATCATTGAAATGTCATCATTTACAGCTATGGGGATCCACATACGTTGTATCACGTTATGATGCAGATGCTAAAACACAAAGGTGTGAATGGGTCTTATAGGATGGCTTCACATCTCTGCGTTGAGGAAACGTGCGTGAGTGCACCTCATAGGGGTGGATTTACTAAAGACAAATAGACTATGCACTTTGCAAGTGCCTTTGCACTCGTTTTCCCCAGAGCTTATTAACCACTTGCCTACTGGGCACTTATACCCCTTTCCTGCCCAGCTTTCAGTGCTGTCAAACTTTGACTGACAATTGCGCAGTCATGCAGCACTGTACCCAGATAAAAAAATTTTCGTTTTTTTCACACAAATAGAGCTTTCTTTTGGTGGTATTTAATCACCGCTGGGTGTTTTATTTTTTGCGCTATAAACAAAAAAAAACAGGTAATTTTTCTCCTTCACTGATGTGCATTGATGAGGCAACTATGATAGGCAGCACTGACTGACGCACTGCTGCGCACTGATGGGCAGCACTGATGCGGAGCATTGCTGGGTACAGGTGGGTGGCAATGCAGGGCACTGATGGGCAGCACTGATGGGGAGCACTGCTGGGCAAAGGTGGGTGACACTGCTGGGTACAGGTGGGTGGCACTGATGGGCACAGATGGGTGGCAATGAAGAGCATTGATGAACACAAGTGGGCGGTACTGAGTACGGTTGGGCGGCACTGCTGGGCACTGATCATCAGTGCTGATCTGTTTGCTGACAATTGCTGGTTCTTGGCAGTACTTTCCTCACGCTGTGACAGCATGAGGAAAGTGCAGCCGATAACCGGCAACTGTATTTAGCTGATGTCATTGGACAAAGCTGATCACGTGCTAAAAGGCTGTTGTGATTGGCCTTTGACGCCCTCCCAGAACTGGACAACCGCGCTGTAGCCATCATTCGGCTATAGCGCGGTTGGCATGTGGTTAAAGTGGTTGTAAAGGCTCAAGGTTTTTTATCTTTGTGCATTCTATGCATAAAGGTAAAAAAACCTTTTGTGTGATGCAGCCCCCCGAATACTCACCTGAACCCCATCGCAATCCAGCGACGTGCACGAGAGTCTCAGCTCTCTGGGAACTCTCCCTCCTCGGCTGAGACAACAGCAGGAGCCATTTTCACCTGCTGCTGTCAATCGCAGTCAGTGAGCTGTCATCCAGTCATGTTCAAGCAAAAGTACACAGTCCTTTTTCCTTTATTAAATCAACCCCATAGTTACGCACTTTTGGCAGTGCTATTCCTTTTGAATGGCATTGAAGTGGGTCCCATTTATACATTTATTGTCAGCAAATCAGCTGTGTGTTGCAGTCCCAAGTTTTTTTTTTTTTTTTTTTTTTATAAACAAAACTGTAGTAATTCTTTATTGTAACAAGTATAAATTTGTATTTCAAAATTTGTCTAAAAGATGAGGTTACATTTTAA